TATACCTTTCCTTCCTTTTTTGATAGTTCTAAAATTTCTCAGCATACAGTTTATTGCTCTATAAAACACAAAAGATATTGACAGTCGCTCGTGCTTCTCAGCACAAGTGCTTGTATGGCAACGGCCCTGCATATATGATATTTTTTTAACCTTAGATACCGCACTAGACACGATTTAAGAGGAAAATGTCCAACAGCCCCATTTTAATCTTAAATGGAAGAAAACTCGTTTTCTTATCGAGTCTGCAAATTATGGAATAGTCTACCAAAGGATCTGCGAGAAATGCAGAATATTAAAGTTCTAATCAGTTGTGAATTCAAATAGATAGTTCATTTACTATTTTTAAAGTTCTTATCACTTGAAACGCTTTAGAGTGTCCAGAAGTCTGCTACAATCAACTGTTGAATCCCTTAACATGTATTACGTTCTTTTAACTGAATGTTAAATACATAATATGTTCCTTTATTTATATGCTTCTAATATTTCTCAGCAAACAGTTTAGTGCTAGGAAAGCTTTATAGTTATTTCAGGGAGCCAGTACCCATAAATATTTCAATTTGTTTTTTCTTTAAATTCTTTTATGTAATTAATTGGTAAATAAAGTTGTTGTTGTTGTTGTTGTTGTTGAAAGTGTGTGCACATTTACAATAGGCACATAAAATGCATCTAAAATTGTTCACAAACTATACTGACAAGCTAACCGTGATTAAGTATTTTTAAAGGAATATGAAGTGCCTCGTTTTCTTCATCGCGGCTTTGTGCCTGGCGGCGGGACAGACCATCCTTGATGGTCCAGATGACAAAAGGACGGCTGCTGGTAAGTCTATCAGTTTTTGTTGACATTTGCTTTTCCTCCGATCCTGAAAAATTATATCTTTAAAAACTATTAGACCTGTATAACGTCCGTTAATCATTCCATGTTTCCAACGCAATGTCTTAACAAGTAATGTAACTAGGGGACAGGCTAATATTATAAGCCTTATGGTTTCTTCATAGGCCCCCTCGCCACTTCCTGTATCAGTTAATTTCTTTTTCTATTATTATTGTAATGTTTTTCTATTTTTGTGTGGCAAAACTAAACTAAGCTTTGTATTGCAAGGATCGATTCTGAAGAGGTTTTCAACAATGGACTCTCAAAAGTAATTTTTCTGCTTGCTCTGTGATCTTGGGTTCGATGAACGTTCAATAAATTTGTGCAACATCCGCTAACAAATTGAAGGAAATATTTCCCAAAACTTATTTAACTTTGTCGCGTTTTCCTCTGTCGGTTGCTACTAGGGAAGAATTATAAAGTCCTTATTGAATATTCCTCTTTCAGGAAAACTTCAAATTTAACTCTAATTCCAGTTATACAAATTTTCCGGCAGAAACACGTCTGAACGACCCCAAAGCGTCTTTGGGTCTGGCGATGTTATGGCCTCCGATCTTGAAAAAAAAGAGGGTTGCTGGTAAGTCTATCATTTAGTTTTTGTTGACAGTTGCTTTGTTTTGCAAGGAACGATTCTGAAGGGATTTTCAACAATGGACTCTCAAAAGTGCTCTGTGTTCTTGGGTTCGATGAACGTTAGCCTGAGATCAGGCTCCTGAAGAAAATTTGCGAGCGAAGCGAGCCGAGTCGCTGCCTGGGGCGAGAACGAAAGCGACGGAGCCTGAAGACATTCCTTTGACGCCGCCGATCCATGATACCAGATTCTGGTATCATGATCTGATTGGTCATTTTGCTTAATATTGACAGATTCGCGGTGAATGATAACAGATGTTGACAACACAATGTCACGCGTTGTTTGTTGAAGTTGAATACAGGAGAATTGAGCAAGCGTTACGGAATTTATTATTTGCCATCAGATCTTTCAGAGATATCCCTCGGCTCAAGGAAGAGCAAAATATATGCCTAGAATCTGTGGCAAAAGAGCGCGATGTATTTGGGACTCTCTTGACTGGTTTTGGCAAGAGTTTAACCTCGGGTGGAGAGAGACCAAGCCGAAGAGTTGTCCCGTTTAGGCCTGAAAGCTGAAGTTCGAAATGGAAGGATAAAAACTGCCAAAAAAAATGGACACGGAGCCGGTTAGCCGGCGATCTTTTGCGTTGGAGTCCTTTCATTTGTGAAGAGAAAATTACGGCTGAAAATTGAACATTCAACAGACGTATAGTCTGAAGTGTCAGCCGTCTCCTCGCTCTAACCCCCCCGTGGGCAGGCGAGAAGAACGTCTGAAGGCCGAGCGTTATAATGTCGTCCGGTGACGTCACGCTCTAATTTATGACAATGTTGCATTTTAAAATTTCATTGAAAACACGTTCTTGTATATTATACATACATCGCGGCTTGCCAGTTACAAATTCCCATACGCGATATGCCTGGATATGGTTTTATTATCGTTCTTTCACCCGCAATCGACGAGATATAAAGCTTAGGAATCGGTCCATGGAACGCGGCGTGAAATAAGAAGGGGAAATTATGAAGACATTACACGACTTACACATGATGACGGACAAACGCTAGATCAAATGCTCTTGCAGATAAACACAGTGGACGGCCGCGGTAAGACTTAACAGAGTTATTTGGCTTGCCTTGACCTTGAAATAGTTCGACTTTGAGAAAATGTACATGTCATTCCTTTAGTGATATACATCAAGCTTGAGAAAACCGAAGAAAAAAATATTTTTAACACACCGGGAAACCGGATACATCACTTCTGAGTTCGGCATACGTGCTTATTACAATTTTTCCTCGCACCACGTTCACACCTCCCGCCGGCATACTTTGACAGCTTTTGCCTTTTGTGACCAATAAGAAATGGTCATCTATATTATCGGGAACCAATTAGATAGAAAACCAATCAAAATCTACCTACCATTTCCGCAAGAGTACGTGACGTCACCGGACGACATTATAACGCTCGGCCTTCAGACGTTCTTCTCGCCTGCCCACGTGGGGGTTAGAGCGAGGAGACGGCTGACACTTCAGACTAACAGACGTAGCGTTGGCTAAAATTACATATTTGCATACGCGTATTACGGTAAATTAAATTTCGTGGACGAAGCCGTCTTCACCGCTTTATACGCTTACTTTTAGCAATTTTTACTTTCAAGCTTGTTTTATGGGAAATACTTGAAATGAAACGATCATTTTTGACGTGGGAAATAATTTATTTAACCATTCTAGTAAACAAGAAGTTAATTTGGGAAAACACGCCAAACACTCCAGGTGACTTGTTGACATTTTATAACAGGACTAATTACTGGAGGGCGGATCGGCGGCAGCAAAGGAATGTCTTCAGGCTCCGTCGCTTTCATTCTGCAGCGACTCGGCTTGCTTCGCTCGCAAATTTTCTTCAGGAGCCTGATTTCAGGCTAGATGAACGTTCGATAAATTTGTGCAACATCCGCTAACAAATTGAAGGAAACATTTCCAAAAACGTATTTAACTTTGGTGCGTTTTCCTCTGTCGGTTGCTACTAGTGAAGAATTTTAAAGTCCATATTGAATATTCCTCTTTCAGGAAAACTACAGATTTAACTCTAATTCCAGTTATACAAATTTTCCGGCAGAAACACCTCTGAACGACCCTAACGACAACTCAGGTTGGAACAACAATTACATCGGAGCCAATAACAACGACGCCGGTTGGAATGGCAATGGCAATAACAACAATCAGAACCAAGGCTGGAATGGTGGCTATGGAAAATGAAAAACGATTCAGGCATTTCTCAGCATTGTAAACGCCTGTTAAATAACTTTGTAGTTCAGTGATGTTTTTTTTCGCTTTTAGAACTGATGTTATCTCAGCACATGTAGAGAGCCACAACTGTAAAAGCAGACATGCAATAAAGGTGTTGAATGCAGTTTTCGTTTCTGCGTGATATTTGATTGACTATTGATGCGACATTTTGGTTTGAGGGGAGGGGAGGGTATGACAGGGCAGGACAGGCAAATCTTTAGTGGGATTGTTGTCGGCTGAAAACTGGATCAGTCTGATTGAGTTTTCTCGGGACAATAAAATTTGCAAGTTTGCGCTTTGAAAGCGAGGCTTGGTAGTGAACTTAACTAATCCATGTAAAGCAAACATTTAGAAGGGCCATTGAAAGATTATTAGATTACATGCAGAAAGAAACCCTTTTCAGAAATCCAAGTCGCAAGTTAATCGGCAAAATAAAACTTAGATTAGAATCTTAACGTGCATGGTTATAATAGTTTAATAATAATTTAATCACTTTTATAGCGCTATTTACATATACTGATCAACAGCGCTTTACAATAATCAATCCTAATATTAAAGGGTCCCTCTCAACCACTGTGCTTTGCGCGCCGATATTCTTACGGCGGCCATTTTCGGGTGCCGCGAAAATGGTGGCTTGAAGTTAGAAACTACTTTTTGCAGGATTGTGGCCTTGTTCTGGCTACAAAAAGCAGTTAGACGACCCAGGTTAGCACAATTTTGAAAGTATGGCAAACATTAGCCCCACGAGAGACCAAGATTCCCGGATGAAAACAATAACACGCGACCGCAAAGCACACTGGTTGAGAGGGACCCTTTAAAAACAAGTTAGAAATGAATTTTTATCTGTTCGTACGTTTTACACAAATGATTTTGCCAAAGAGTTGACAGATTATGTTTGTTTTGTAAAACTCATGAGACAATAATATAATGAAATGAAAACTAAATTGAGTCCAGAAATCTTTTCAGAAATCCATAAACATTTATGAGAGTGAAAAAATCGGCTAAAGTAACTTAGGCGGTTATGTTCGCAGCTTCATTTTAAAATTAAAAAATAAAGAAGCCAAAGCCATGTATTATACTTTATTATTACTGTTATTTGAGAACACTTGAGAAATTTAGAAAACACTCGCCTTACACTTGCGTTTTCCAAATTTATCTCGTGTCTCAAATTTGTGTCGTGTTTTGTGATGGTATAATACATGGACTTGGCTTTCTGATAAAAAAAATTAACGTGCGCGAAGCGATATATATAAAGCAATCGAAGAACCCTAAAAAAAAACAGTGTTCCCAAGGGATTTGAACCCAAGCCCTCTGCATGACCAGTGCGATGCTCTACCAACTGAGCTATGAAGCCACATATTGGGAGCAGGCTATATTGCCGTGAATGTTAAGCCACAGGCCGCCCAAGCTAAAGACAAGAGAACACCGTCACGATATAAGCGGTATTGTGTTACAAAGACTCGATTTATAAGGGTTTGTATGGGAACGCAACGGTTATTTTTTAGAAGATATCTAACTGGATTTGCAAACGTGGCCGCAGAAAATTGCACCATTTTGACCATTTTCATTTTTGGGTTTTTCTCGTTCAGAAAAAGACACAATAAGACGGGGTATGCCAGTTCTTTTTTCTCTCTTCCCTCTCTTCTTTCTCCTTTTCCCTCTCCGTTTGCGTGTTTTCTAGTCTTATTGGAGTCATAAAACTGGACTTTTGGCGTAGTTGCCGTAAATGCTGAAATTTTCTTGAGCCACGTTCTTGCAGATTCAGTTATATCAGTATAAAATCGAATGTTCTGTGAATAAAAACGACTTACCCTGTTGCTGTGTTGTATTCTTTGTAGTTTGCCAGCTTCTTAGACCGATTTAAGGCGATTTCGGCGAGTTATAGTTTTGCGAGGTTTTCCGTTAATATATTTATTCAAGGCAGGAATCAAGATGACGGTAAATTTCAAATCCAATCACTCGAAGATCGATAAATTCCGTAAAAAAATTTCGGCTTCCAAATGCCGTTCTAACTGCAGATAAACTTTCGTCAGTTCGACGCTCTTTTTTCTCAGAACCCGTTGCAATTTCAAAATTATAATGCTTGTTCAATGCAGCTGCGAATACAACAGCCTGATATCAGAGGTCTATAGACCTCTGCTGATATTCATTGAGGATAAAATAGCAAGTTTAATTTCGAGTAACTTGCCACTTAACGGAAAAGGGTTTCTCTCTACATTTGCAGGCCTTGCTTTCGAAGTACGTACAAACTTGTACATTTTACAGCAAAGATGAAAAGAAACTCATGATTATGAAGGTGCTAGAGGTTTGAGAAGAATATTCGCGTAAACTATAGGCTTGTGTGAAGTTTGAGTAACTGACGTAATCTTATTGTTTCTTGAGTGCTACAACCCAAGCAATGAAATTTGACGAGTCGTTAGCAAAAACATTTGAGTAAAATGTACAAGAACAGATAAACTTCATTTGACCCAGGTTAAAATTACAATCTGTCAAAACGTGCTTCCAAAAAGACACAATTTGTGGGGGGAGGGTATTTTTCTGAGAAGTTGCGTGATACTCTCGAATCCAGGTTTCAGCGGACAACAATCCCGCCATACCGTCCCCTCCCCTCAAACCAAATCGCATCAAAACCAATCAAAGGGCACGCAAATACCTTTATTGCATTTCCCACTCTTACAATTATGGCTCTCTACGTGAGCTGAACCCGGGGGAGGGGGTAATCCCTTATATATAGGCTACTCTATTTAGTCAAACACTGTAAATCAGTCAAACACGGTGTGTTTTAAAAACATCTAACGAATTATCACCTGATATTAATTCATGCCATGGTTAAGTTCATAGATTTCAACACTCAACAGGAAACGGATGGAAACAATTTCAGGAAACGGAAAACAATTAATCGGTCTCAACATTTGTCTCAATATTTGTTGAGTCATGCTGATAGATGTTGAGACCATGCCATGTCAACGGCTTCAATATTTCGAGAACAAAAGAAATGTTGAGAATATGTTTAGACAAAGGGGGTGTTGAGACAAATGTTGAGACCGTTTAAACTGGGCTTGAGCTTTTTCCTGTTCTGTTAGGAGAAAACTATTCTGTTGATTTTAATCAATTGATCAACTTTTTCAACCGGCCGAACTCGATTGGTTGAAATGGTGGATCTAGATGACGTTTGCCAATAGAACAATGGTTAAAACAATTCAACAATTCTTAGGTTTAAACCTAATCAACCTTAAATCAGGATCACGGTTACACTCAATTAACCAACCCAGCCAACCGAAACAGATCACGCGTCTTAACAGTTATCAACAAATTCAAGCAAGTGAAAACGGTTGAAAAAGTGTTGTATATATATTGGGAAAACTTCAACCAAATCAACCAAAACCGGTTTTGAAATAGTTCGTCCCAATAGAACACCACCAAACTAAATAAAATAACTTCATAACAATAACTAAAGAGCTTTCAGCAATGAGTTGCGGTTTTCATTGTTCATGAAAGTTGCTTGTTCATGCGTACACGGTTCGATTTGTATAACACAACAAACACACAACAAACTAATTGCAGCTAGTTTATTTGCCAAAATAGGGATCGTAAATTCTTTTTGCCGCCCTTAAGATACCTTGTCTGTTGGGGTTGAAGTGTAATAATGTCCAAATATTGAATACTGGCTGAAAATCTTAAAAGAATAGCGAGAACTGGCTGGGGTATTGAATATTTCAATTACCAAGGAGGCCACAGAAAAATGAATAGTGAACATCGACCCAAATATTGAGATAACTTGTGGACAATGTTGAGTAGTCATGGAGAAATTATTCCGATTCAACCCCCGATACTAGTGGAAAACTCTTATTTTATTCACTATTAACGGATGTTTGGATTTCAACGACTGCTGTCATTACATATACCTTAATAGCAACCAATACTGAATTTAATAGACTGTGAAATGACACCATCATGCCGATGATATTCAGTATAATTACTGATAATGAGGTGGTTTACACTTGACGTTTACACAGCACTATTGTACACATTCAAGTAGCACTTGTACATACGTCTTTCTAATACTGTGTTCGTGATCAGGCATGATCAATAAATATAAAAACTGGGGTTGACGCTGATTAAAAAGATTTGGTGAAACGTTTAGGTCACTTCAGTGACCTCCGTCAGTTAGTCTATCTACTTCAGCCAATCTTCATTTTTAGCTCCAGTAACTTGATGAAATGAGCTGGTCTTGGATTAATAAAAGCAATAGCAAAATTGATATTTGAACTCGGGCAATACCATGACATGTATTTTCTGAAATGCTATAGTCTAAGTTGGACCGTGTCTTGTCAAAATCTAAAATCATTGCAACTAACAAGATCTCAGATGAGACTTTAATGTCCATAAATGGAAATTTCAAGTTTTCAGATTGCTTTGTCTCACAAATCCGTTTTTGGTAAAAACACGCGTATAAGAAACTGTGCGGATTAAGAACCTGCAGGCTGAAATTGGCAAATTAAACCCCAATATATAAGAACCACTTCGGCCTGACAAATGAAGCAGGTTCTTATTTGGAAAAATTGGTAAAACTCAGAAAACACAGGCTTAAACCAAAATGAGCTTTGGAGGTCCATAATCACAGTGTAAAGGATTACTTTTAGACCTTTTAAGACCAGCAGCAAGATTTATACTCTGTCAAAAATAAGAACCTATTTAAGAACCTGTCTCACCAGACATGTACATCCAATATATAAGAACCATTTCAGCCTGCCTTGGAAAAACAAGGGTTTTGGAAAAAACAGGGTTTTTTTACTGTAGAACACTTTTCCAACAGTTTTCAGTTGAAATATGTTGATAACTGTTCTGTTGTGATAAACAGTTTGGTTGGCTCGGTTGGTTGGGTCTGTTCGGTTGATTAGATTGAAACTGAAGGACTGTTGAATATTGTTTAACCGTTGTTCTGGTTTGATCAACCAAATCAAACGAAAATAGAGCTAATGGAGGCTTAATTGTTTTCCGTTTCCTGAAGTCGATTCCATCCGTTTCCTGAAGTTGTTTTCTTTCCGTTTCTAGCTGTAGGTTTCTTTGAACTTGGTGAAAACTATGAACGTACTTAACCATGCTATGAATTTATATGCTAATTTGTTGGATGTTATTTAAACAGACGATGTTTCACTGATTAATTCACCATCCACAGTGGCTGTACAAGAAACGCTTTAGAGTGTCCAGAGGTCAACTGTTGATTCAGCGCGTGTCAAAAGGTAATTCCTTTAACAAGCATAAGTTTCTTTAATAACAAGCATACGTTTCTTCAATGTTTACTAAAATAGGTTATTTCCGACGAAATAACAGCAGCCTTAGGCCTAGTGTTAGGATTTGATACCTAAATCAATTTACGTACCTCTTGTTTTCCCTTAACAAGCATAAGTTTCTTCAATGTTAACTAAGTTTTTCCGACTGTTGATTCCCGCTTATTTTTCGGGCGCGTGAAAACAACGGCCTAAGGGCATAGGCTAGGGCTAGGTTAGGATTTTATGTCTTTTTACCTTAGCCTATACCTTTCCTTCCTTTTTTGATAGTTCTAAAATTTCTCAGCAAACAGTTTATTGCTCTATAAAACACAAAAGATATTGACAGTCGCTCGTGCTTCTCAGTACACAAGTGCTTGTATGGCAACGGCCCTGCATATATAAGATATTTTTTTAACCTTAGATACACTAGATACGATTTAAGAGGAAATGTGCAACAGCCCCATTTTAATCTTAAATGGAAGAAAAACTCGTTTTCTTATCGAGTCTGCAAATTATGGAACAGTCTACCAAAGGATCTGCGAGAAATGCAGATTATTAAAGTTCTAATCAGCCGTGAATTCAAATAGATAGTTCATTTACTATTTTTAAATTTCTTATCACTTGAAACGCTTTAGAGTGTCCAGAAGTCTGCTACAATCAACTGTTGAATCCCTTAACATGTATTACGTTCTTTTAACTGAATGTTAAATACATAATATGTTCCTTTATTTATATGCTTCTAATATTTCTCAGCAAACCGTTTAGTGATAGGCACATAAAATGCATCTAAAATTGTTCACAAACTATACTGACAACCTAACCGTGATTATGTATTTTTAAAGGAATATGAAGTGCCTTGTTTTCTTCATCGCGGCTTTGGGCCTGGCGGCGGGACAGTACTACCGTGATCCGCCTGAAGACAAAAGGACAGTTGCTGGTAAGTCTATCAGTTTTTGTTGGCATTTGCTTTTCCTCTGATCCTGAAAAATTATATCTTTAAAAACTATTAGACCTGTATAACGTCCGTTAATCATTCCATGTTTCCAACGTAGGGGACAGGCTAATATTATAAGCCTTATG